CAAGTACTTCAGAGTGATTATTCGATGCAGCCGTAGTCATAATGTGATTCCCACTCATCCCCCAATTCTGTGGTGCAGTACCATTTCCAAACGTTTTGTTTCACTAGTGAATTCTAAAATAGCTAACTGCTATATAGGGTTTAACTGCTGCTAATACTTCCATTGAATCTGACAGCTACACTTCCTCGATTTCACCTTCTGATGAATGCTATAAATGACAATTTCAAAATCCTCCCATCCAAATTCTCAAAAATTAGTCTAGAATCTGAGGATTCTATTTTAAAGCTCAGAGCTACTCATTTCCTGATTAAATTAATTGGCACATATTGACTCAACACATATTCTGTTATTCTTATTATCATTATTTTGAGTTTGGGGAGAAATAAAAAGTGCTTCTCATGTCTGTGCTCCTACTAAAGTTTGGTTGAACAAAAATATCCTTCAAATATGTTCAGACTCAAAGATGGATCTGATTTCAGCTCAAAGATGTGGAGAGCTGGAAAGGCTATTACTCTCTTGCATAAAAACTATAAATGAATGATTTTTTCAAACCCTACATGAAGCTGAAGTCAGAGGGCAATCATCTAACCCAGATCTGGGGAGAGACAGCACCAATGGGAAGAAACATGATCCAAGCACTTGATTACCTGAGACAGACACTGCTGCTTCCATACAAAGTGGTAAGAAGAATTCAGCCAAGACAGTTTTAATAAATCTCTAAATACCAAATGTGGGGTGCAGTGACAATGAGAAACTTTGGAGGGCTACAAACACAGGTGGATTTGCACTCTCTTATGTACTTTCCCCCATGCATCTCCAAGCACTCACAGAAAGGAATGGGGGGAGATAGCAAAGAATTGCAAGTAGCCTCTTCCATGGTATTTTAGGCTTTGCTGGCCACGAGGTTTCTGTCACGACTACTTAACTCTTCTATTGTATCAAGAAAACAGTCCCAGACTACACATAAATATGTGGACTGTGATCCAATCAAAGTTTATTTATAGACATTTACATTTGAACTTCATGACATTTCATATTTCACAAAATATTCTTTTTAATTTTATTTTGTGCTACTTAAAAATATAAAATCATTCTTAGTTCTCAGGCTATAAAAGGAGGCCATGGCTTGGAATTGGCCCATGGACTGTAGTTTGCTAAAGTTTCTCTGACAATTGAAACATTTAGGTTCTAAAAAGAAATTTATGAGGGCTGCATTAGTTTTCTATTGTTGCTTTAAAAATAACCACAAATTGAATGGTTATAGCAATGCAAACTCATCATCTTATAGTTCCACAGGTCACTAGTCCAGGCACAGTATCACTCACCTAGTTCTCTGGGCTTCATTGGGTTGAAATCACGGTATTAGCAGAACTCCATTTTCTTCTGGAGGCTCTGGGGATTATTTGTTTTCAGACTTAATTTTCAAGTTGCCAGAATTCAGTGCCATGTGGCTGGAGGACTTAAGTTCTTGTTTCCTATCTGGCTATTAGTGGGGAGCCTACCCAGTTTCTAGAGGCTCTGACTCATGGCACCCTTCAAAGCTAGTAACAGCAGATAATATCCCTCTCTCTGCCCCTTCTCCTCTGTCTATCTCTCTGAAGCATCTCTTCTTTCATACAGCGGTGCTGCAATTTATTCTGGCACTTTTAAGGACCCATGTAATTTAATAATTGGGTCCCCTTATACAATCCAGGAAAATCTCCCTTATTAAAGCTGGATGATTGCCAACGTTAATTCCATTAGTATAATCTCTTTTGCCATGTAAGTGAACATATTCACAAATGTAACACCAGATATGAACGAAGAGCATTGCGTGGGGAAGGGCAAACTCTGCAAGGTCCGTGCCACCATGTGCTATTCTGACCCAAACTCTCTGGTCTTCCACCCTTGTCACATTGCTAAGAGACCCAATCATTTCATCTTTTCCTTTTCATTTCTGTACCCTCTCTCTGCCTGAACTGGAGAAGTAAACATATACATATAAACCAAACAAATTCAATTAACCCTGGTATTAAAGCTAAACAACAATGTATTCATTCTTCATTTATTCCAGGAATATTTCACAGTCCTTGCTAGATTTAGGCTGCTTTCAGAGCAGTCCCACACACTGTCAGCATGGATTCCATAAATCACGAAATAAGGAAATGTCTGTGAATTGTTATTGTAAGACATAGTTCAGTGAATACTTTTTAAAAATATTAAAAATATCACTTTAAACACCATCTGAAAGGTCCACAATAATCATTATAGCTGCCTTCTTGTTTTTAATTCTCTTCCTTTTTTCTTAATTTTAATGGTGAGAATTTATTAATGCCTCTGATGTGGGTTTTCAAAATGACCTGGGATCATTTTTAGTCCAGTTCAGTCTTCATGGATCAAATAAATTTGTGCCAACAAATGCAAATTAACTCAACTTTGTTCTCTCCAGTTAATCCATATAGTCAAAAAAATTAGTTTTTAAGTTAGTTTATATGCCAAAATAATGACTAGCTCTGGGTACATTGTAGGTACCAACTGTATAAATGTTGGGTGATTACAGAAGACATGTCATGGAGAGTGGTCACATGATAGAACCGAAAAAAGTTTGTGGAAGTTCTAGGTTCTAGTTTTGGGGATTCTTCTGTGGACTTGGATCAGTCTCATACACTCTAGACCTCAGTGTTCTGATATACAGATAAAGGGCTTTAGACCAGATCAACACCTTATATTTAAAAACAAAAATCTTCCCAATAATAGACTTTTAAGGTGAAGAAAGTAAAGGCTCACAATCAAAGAACTTGTACTTGATAGAGAATATCTAGAAAGATATGCAATAAACACCATAGTTAATGGTGAAAAACTCAAAACTTTCCATTAATATCAGGAATGAGGCGAGGATGTCTCCTCTCATCACTACACTTCAACATCAAACTGTAAGTTTTAGCTAGTGTAGTAGGACAAGGAAGGAAATAAAAGATTACCTGGATATGGAAGGAAGACATAAAACTGTTTTTGTTTGCAGATGACATGATCATCTATTCAGAAATCTAAAATAATCAATAAAGAAAACCTCCTTGAACTAACAATCAATTACATCAAGGTTACAGGCTATGAGGCTAATATACAAAAATCAATCACTTCCCTGTATACCAGCAATGAACAGGTAGAGTTAGAAATTAAAGACCCAATAGCATCCAAAAAAATGAAATGCTTAGGTATTAATTTAGTAAAATATGTACAAGAACAATATGAAAAAAATTATAAAATTGAAGAAGAACTCAATAAATGGAGAGATAATCAATGTTCATGGATAGGAATACTCAGTATTGTAAAGATGTCAGTTCTTCCCAAATTAACCTGCAGATTCAATGCAATCACACTCAAAGCACTCAAACAACATCAAACAGGTCAGACATATTTGAAATGTTTGCAATTCAGTATTTATAGAATAATGTCTCCCAATATCTATGAAAGCATTCACAATGAGTACATTATTTATGTGGTTAACCTCAGCTTGTGTCTGTGTAGGACTTTTTGCTCTCAATATTATACTATCTCCTATGCTAGTGAAACAATATTCTTTCATGTTCCAAGAAACGTTTGCTTTTGGATGCAGGCTTATGGAGATGCTACGTCCCTTATTTCCTTTTAGTAGTTGCACCCTGTTCTATGACCCACTAAGCACAAATTTTATTATCTAACATTTGTAATTGTAATTGTATGTATGTATTGTATTCATGCATAAACAGAAATAGTTTGAGACAGAATTATGTACATCAATTGAAATTAAATTATCTCCAAAACATTGGTTCCCCAAACTGACTTAGTAGGACAATCTTAAGATATATATATATATATATGTTATTGAGCTCTGCAAGTTAAATGCATATTTCCTAAATCATAAGTGATGCCTTGGTAAGTGTATTTCACAATCAAAGAACTTCTACTTGATAAAGAATATCTAGAAAGACATGCAATAAACATCATAGCTAATGATGAGAAACTCAAAACTTTCTATTAATATCAGGAATGAAGGAAGGATGTCTCCTCTCACCACTACACTTCAACATCAAACTGTAAGTTTTAGCTAGTGCAGTAGGACAAGGAAGGAAATAAAAGATTACCTGGATATGGAAGGAAGAGATAAAACAGTTTTTGTTTGCAGATGACATGATCATCTATTCAGAAATCTAAAATAATCAATAAAGAAAACCTCTGGAAACTAACAATCAATTACATCAAGGTTACAGGCTATGAGGCTAATATACAAAAATCAATCACTTCCCTGTATGCCAGCAATGAACAGGTAGAGTTAGAAATTAAAGACCCGATAGCATCCAAAAAATGAAATGCTTCGGTATTAATTTAGCAAAATATGTACAAGATCAATATGAAGAAAATTACAAAACTGGAAATAAAATTGAAGAAGTACTAAATAAATGGAGAGAGAATCAATGTTCATGGATATGAATACTCAATTTTGTGGAGATGTCAGTTCTTTCCAAATTAACCTGCAGATTTAATGCAATCACCATCAAAGCACTCAAACATCAAACAGGTAACACAGAATTGAAATGTTTGCAATTCAGTATTTATAGAATAATGTCTCCCAATATCTACGAAAGCATTCACAATGAGTACATTATTTATGTGGTTAACCTTCAGCTTGTGTCTGTGTAGGACTTTTTGTTCTCAATATCTTACTCTCTCCTGTGCTAGTGAAACAATATTCTTTCATGGTCCAAGAAACATGTTTGCTTTTTGATGCAAGCTTATGGAGATGCTATGTCCCTTACTTCCATTTAGTAGTTGCACACTGCTCTATGACCCAATAGGCCCAAATTTTATTATCTAACATTTGTCATTGTAATAGTATTTATGTATTGTATTCATGCATACCCATAAATAGTTTGAGACAGAAGTGTGTAAATCAATTGAAATTAAATTATCTCCAGAACATTGGTTCCTATAAATATATATATGTATATATATATATATGTTATTGAGCTCTGCAAGTGAAATGTATATTTCCTAAATCATAAGTGATGCCTTGGTAAGTGTATTTACCTTTAAAGCTTTCTAGGTGATTCTAAAGTCACCCAAATTGGAACCATTATTTAGGTTTTCCCCTTCTCATTTTAAAGAATGTACAGATGCTCAGAGCTACAGTCCAAGGTCTTTATTTTTCTTGAATATAGTTTCAATTATCTACTGATAATCTAAAGTGATCAAAGGCAGAGGAACAGAAAGGTATTTAATGAACAAAACACCAGCCTTACTTAATTTTATTTTATTGTAACATACTTGTAAGTAATCCATTAAATATTGATATCAATCAACTGAAAATTATCAACCACATGGAAGTTTTAGTTTTTATTCATTTGAGTACAGTTAATTGTTGAATACAGATAGTATCTGCTTGACAATGTGCTCATAAGGAAACTAAGTGTTATTAAACATGATAATGGGAAGACCAAATTTTGAGGGCCATGCATTGAGAAGTACTATATATAATAACGTATATGTGGGTTCTATTAAAAACATGAAGGTAGAGCTGATAGTTGACAAAATGATGAAGTAGATGATGTGTCTTTGGCACTTATTTTCTGAGTCAGTTCACTGCCATCATCTCCTAAGCCTCACCTTTCAGATGTTTATTATTATCACCATATATGTGCTCTTGCTTTCTTTTATCTGCATCTTTTTGCTAATTTGAGATCTTTCCAAGGTCAGTAGCAGACTTCAGAATACTGAAAAGGAGAATCTGAAAGAAAACATATTTCACAATCATGAAACTTCAGGTAGCATAAATGCAGGGGGCAGGATGCAGCAATTATGGAGGTTAAAATTTATTTTCANTGCTTGTGCTAATATCATAGAATTTTAGCCAGTGAATCACTTTATTATGTTAAACATGCTTTGTTAGTAACAGAGGTAATATGGAGTTGTGAAATATACTTTTCCTCACTGTGTCATGAGTTATACAGTTGAATAATTGGGCTAACTTATTAGCTTTGTGGCCCTACAGTAACAAAAGTGATCTATAGAAGGATGATTGTTTTAGGAAACATAAAAAGAAGCAGATGAATACATGCAGAGTATTTGCCTTAGAACATCGTTCATCTTCTGATGAAAAGAACTGTTTAAAGTTGACAACATTGAATTGCACCAGACTAAAATGTTTCAAAGGAAGCAGTTATGTACTGAAAACCAAGTACACTGAAGATCTGCCAGAGACATTAGATGAAACCTCAGTTAAGATAATGTTACCTCCGGCTTATTTGTGTGAGATTACTAGTAACCAGTATCCTGATTTGGAACCAAATTGTCCCTGTTGCTGTGCCAGCCTGATAGACAGTCTTCCACTGTCTGTAGTGCATCAGACTGTTACATGTGAATTATGGATTTCACAGTCAGATGGTTCCTTATGTAACCTAACTTCAAAGCTTGATTTATGTTGATGTAGTTGATGTAGTTGTTGATTGTTGATATTAAATTTTACAACTATTTAAGTAAATTAAGACATATTCACTTGTTTATAAAGCTTTAATGAATGAGAAATTATTATTGTTATATTCCAATTAAAATATGGTCAACAATGAAGATTTTCCTACAGGGAGGTAATACATTGACCAGCCAGTGCTGTATTTTCATTTCTCATTAACAGTAATTAAACTGGCATTCAGGTTTATAAATTATAAGATTATAAATTCTTATGAATTTAGGTAGCATGAACTCTTGTTCTTCTCCACTCACCTATACTTTCCTCAGGGCACACTAACAAATATCAAGAGTCTGGACCTATAAGTTTTGGTCCATACCAAACTGTGTGTGCTGCATATCAAATTCATATGACCTTGATTTGTCTTTGCTGAGCAAGCTGCCCCTCTTCCTGGAGAGACCCATTAGAACTCCCTCTGAAATATTTCTATTTCTTAAACACAATCTGACCCAGCCCTTATTTCTTTATGAAATTAATGTTTCATCACTTCTCCATGCCAACAAAAGAAGGGTTAAAGATGCTAACAGGAAAGCTTATGTGAGGGCAATGATACCATGTATGCCACAACCCTTTTCTATGGTAACATTAACTCTTAGTAACTTATTCTTCATAAGCATATGAAAGTTCACCATTACCCAATGATTCTTCTCTTCAGGTTCCATATTTTCAAATCTTTATATCTGTATGCTTCCCCTTAACATAAAAACACAAAATTCTCACTCAAATCCTTTGGCAGTGAGTACTTCAGAGTGATTATCAGATGCAGCCACAGTCATAAATATTATTCCCATTCATCCCCCAATTATGTGGTGCAGTACCATTTCCAAACGTTTTGTTTTACTAGTGAATTTTGACAGCTACACTTCCTCGATTTCACCTTCTGATAGTATACATGACAATTTCAAAATCCTCCCATCTAAATTCTCAAAAATTAGTCTAGAATCTGAGGATTCTATTTCAAAGCTCAGGGCTACTCATTTCCTGATTAAATTAATTGGCACATATTGACTCAACACATATTCTGTTATTCTTATTATCATTATTTTGAGTTTGGGGAGAAATAAAAAGTGCTTCTCATGTCTGTGTTCCTACTAAAGTTTGGTTGAACAAAAATATCCTTCAAATATGTTCAGACTCAGAGATAGATCTGATTTCAGCTCAGAGATGTGGAGAACTGGAAAGGCTATTACTCTCTTGCATAAAAACTGTAAATGAATGATTTTCTCAAACCCTACATGAAGCTGAAGTCAGAGGGCAATCATCTAACCCAGATCTGGGGAGAGACAGCACCAGGGAGAAGAAACATGATCCAAGTGCTTGATTACCTGAGACAAACACTACTGCTTCCATATAAAGTGGTAAGAAGAATTCAGCCAAGACAGTTTTAATAAATGTCTAAATACCAAATGTGGGGAGCACTGACATTGAGAAACTTTTGAGGGCTACAAACACAGGTGGATTTGCACTCTCTTATATATTTTCCCCCATGCATCTCCAAGCACTCATAGAAAGGAATGGGGGGAGATAGCAAAGAATTGCAAGTAGCCTCTTCCATGGTATTTTAGGCTTTGCTGGCCACGAGGTTTCTGTCATGACTATTTAACTCTTGTATTGTATCAAGAAAACAGTCCCAGACTACACATAAATATATGGAATGTGTTCCAATCAAAGTTTAGACACTTACATTTGAACTTCATGAAATTTCATATT